CACTTGCGGTGTCATTGTCTCTCCTATTACCCCGAGATGGGACCGTCTGGTTGCAGAAAATCAAGCTCGGTGCTGTGGTGAGTGGTCATTTTCATGCACTTTGAATTTGCGTTGTATCGTATTTTGAAGGCATTAAACATTGCCATAGCGATTGGAGTGTTGCGGCCAGATTAGACGCTCCTTGTGTTTATTATGATATTTCGAAAACACCACAGTTTTCATGCAGCTCATACCATATTATTTTGTTGTATTATTTCCGCCACACCTTAAATGCCGGTCCCTGAAAATATTGTCTGACATAAACCGGTCCGTGGGGCAAAAAAGGTTGGGGACCCTTGATCTATGGTGATACTTGTTCCTAATCCCGTGGTTATGGTTTTGCTACACCATAGCATGTATTTTCTCGTTCAAAATTCAGTTTCTGACACTACATGTTCACTAGGGTAGATTGAGACACATCAATCGTAGGTGGCTTTGCACTCCCATTTTAGGGACCGATTTCTAAAGATAAATCTTTTAAATTATTTTAGTTTATCAAAGTAGCTATTTTTGGCTTGCGAAATACAAATGTTGAGTTGTTTATCTCTAAGTCAATAAAAAGAAAGAAACAGTGATGGATGGATGGATGGATGATGGCCAGGGCGGCCCGGTGGACCAGTGGTTAGCACGTCAACCTCACAGTGCAGAGGTACCAGGTTTGATTCCAGCTCCGGCCTTCCTGTGTGGTGTTTGCATGTTCTCCCTGGGCCTGCGTGGGTTTTCTCCGGGTACTCCGGTTTCCTCCCATATTCCAAAAACATGCATGACAGGTTAATGGAACACTCTAAATTGTCCCTAGGTGTGAGTGTGAGCGCGGATGGTTGTTCGTCTCTGTGTGCCCTGCGATTGGCTGGCAACTGGTTCAGGGTGTCCCCCATCTACTACCCGAAGACGGCTGTGATCGGCTTCAGCACATGTGTGAGGATAAAGCAGATCAGAAAATGGATGGATGGATGGATGATGGCCAGTCCTATCTGCAAACAGCCATTTACGGCCTTACTGAAAATAATTAGGTCCACAGGATTATATGCAACAAATACGTTTTTGAAATTAAGAGCCAAGGACAGTTCAGTAGCACATTTCAAGTACCTGTAGCTACAATTGAAACTCAACATAAGCGTAAAACAAAAGCTTATGTCGTTTAATATGTCAAATTGCACTAAAATGTATGTCTTCGGCCGACAACAACCTCTAAAAACATCATTTCACATCAATTGGGTTGATCCATATTCCATTTTTTCTTTCTGCGATATATCAGCACATCCACCATATTGGATTTGACCATTGTATCAGCCATAAAATGGGCAAAAAACATTTGTAAAATTGAGTTAGAATGACATAATACGTTGTTCAATCAAAAGCAATGGTTTGGTATTCATCCAGTGAGTTCGAGCTTGATGATGCATCTCAAAGGAGCAAGTGAACGAGATATACTCAGAATAGATTGACTTTGCCTTATTCACTACAGCTAAATGTACTGTAACTATTGTCTAATGGTGGTTGTCGCAAAAGTCGCCATTCACGACTATAGACTGGAAGCAGCAGCGCTATGCAAATAGATCCAAATATATAGATCAGTGGAAGGGAACTTCGATTCCTCGACAGCCATGTCTTGCCTGTTTTGGATCTCTCCGTACTCCAACACGTCTGATTCAATTGATAATGATCATTTCAGGCTTTGACAGAGCTCTAAAACAGGCAGGATATGACTCTTGAGGAACCAGAGTTCCTGATATAGAGCAAAGTAAGTGCTGTCTATAGGGTGTGAATAATACTTGGGCTCCCCCATGCACTTCATGTTTCATGCACTGGATGGAGAAAACTTTTTTTTTTTTTTTTAACCGCACAGTTTACTGTGCCAAGTGGGAGCGCTGGCAAGATGATGAACCTATTAGTCGACTAGTCCAAGATTAGATTTTACTATTCTGCATAAACATCTAACACTTCAGGGTGATTGATCACTAATCACATGTTTTTGGAATCTGTCTTTTCAATTGGGCAATGTACCAAGAATATCTGACTTGCCTGTCTGCTGGCCACACCATACAATAACGCAATGTGTAACAGTGAAATGTCAGGCCGCTGACACAGTCTTCATACATCTGTGTGGGTCTTAGAAAATGAAATTCAGCTGATGGTGATGGAAATTGCCCTTTGTCTCGCTAGCTTTGGCTGTTGCGATTGCTACTATTAAAAAATCAGTGGCACATTAGGACTTGTGGCAAGGAATGAGTGGCTTGAAGTGAAGCACCACCTTTTTATTCATCAAAGAAGTTATTTGCGACAACACGCATCAACATTACATACTGTATTGCTTTACGATACTGAAAACAGGCTAGTGAAACATCCATACTGTCTTGTTTGCAGGTACAAACGGACGGTAACACAAAGACATTCATGGTCTGTGGTTGCTGCATGTTGGCTTGTCGCTCTGCCTCTGAGTTTCGCGCCCATGCTGGGCTGGCACAACGAAGACACCACCTCCCCAGAGTCTCCCAACTCCATGTTCATTTGCCAGTTCATCGCCGTGATCCCGATGTCCTATCTGGTCTACTTCAACTTCTTCCTCTGCAGCCTGACACCGCTACTAGTCATGTCGGCACTGTATGGCTACATTTTCTACATCATTCGTGGCAACCTCAAAGAAAAGCCGGGCAACGGGTCCCAGGCCAGATCTCACATCTACCTGAAGAAAGAGAGGCAGCTAGCAGGCTCTCTTGCCCTGGTCCTGATCCTCTTCGCCCTCTCCTGGATCCCGCTGCACGTGCTGAACTGCGTTGCCTACTTTGAATTGGCCGCAGTGCCAGTGAGCGCTTTTCACGTGGGCATTCTGTTGTCTCATGCCAACTCTGCTGTGAATCCAGTGGTGTATGCCTTTAAGATACACAAGATCAGGACGGCGTACCTGAAGATCTGGCAGAGGTGCCTCACATGCGGGGATGAACTCCAAGGCTCTCAGTCCAGCCAGTCTATGGACAACAACCAAAGTAGCAACAGTATGAACAACAATGTGCCGTTACGTGCATAACGTGGTCATATTATGGAAAATGTACTCTTTAAATGCACGTATGCAGTTGGTGGTTTCCTAGAGTGCCTGTATACCGATCAAGTGTAAATTAAAAAAATCTTTTGTTGTCTGCCTTTTTCTGAAAATTTGTCTGAGCGTGCCAGGGGAGGCAGGGGACATTGAGTCATGTTCCGTGCCTCTGTTGTTGAGGCGACCAATCGGAGTTGTGGCCATAAAGTGGTTTGTGCCTGTCGTGGTAGCAACTCCTCCACATTGAGAGGAGCCAGATAAGGCGGCTCGGGCATCTGATTTGGATGCCTCCTGGACATCTCCCTGGAGATGTGTGCCAGGCATGTCACACTGGCAGGAGGCCATGAGGACGACCCAGGACACACTGGATAGGCTATATCTCCCACCTCGCCTGGGAACGCCGTGGGATGAGTTGGAAGACGCGGCTGGGGAGAAGGAAGTCTGGGCTTCCTTGCAGAAGCTACTGTCGCTGCGACCCGACCCCAGATAGGCGATAGAAAATGGATGGATGGATGGATGGATGAATGGATGTCTAAGCGGGTTGATCTGCATTTCGTCCCCATTGATCGGTCACAGTGTGGTGGATTTAGATACACTTGCACAACCACCATTCATTTGGAGTGTGGGCGCAGAAGAGTGAAATACCGCAGGACTACAGTTTCTCAAATAAAATCATGCGGAGTCACCCACATCCCCCACCGATGTGACACTTCTGCTTGCATTGTCAAACCATAAGGCAGAGCTGTATTCAGTTTCGTTGGATGGACAAAACAGTGTGAGCTTTTCATAAGTGGCACTAGCCGTGGGATGGTATTCATTTTGTCTCTCTGCAGGCTTGCACCATATACAAACAGTGGAGTACATGAACTGCTGAGGAGTTAAAATGGTTCAACTAATGCTGATAAGCGGCATTTACTTGACTGTTTTATTGATTTCAAGTACTCTGTCCTCTGTGTTGTATTTTTATTCGTGGAAAACACTTTGTTTCAGCTGCAGTTTTGTTTGAGTGCCCTATAAATAAAACTGAGTTGCACTGAAAGGCGGCCTAGTGGGCCAGTGGTTAGCGCGTCGACCTCACAGTGCAGAGTTACTGGGTTCGATTCCAGCTTCGGCCTCTCTGTGTGGAGTTTGCATGTTCTCCCCCTGCCTGCGTGGGTTTTCTCCGGGTACTCCGGTTTCCTCCCACATTCCAAAACATGCATGGCAGGCTGATTGAATGCTCTAAATCAGGGGTCCCCAACCGCCGGTCCGCGGACGGGTACCAGTCCGCGGACCATTTGGTACCGGGCCGCAGAGAATAAAATAAATAATTTATTAATGACCGCATTTTGGCCGAATTAACTTTGGCCTGTGCCCCTTGACACAACAATATGCCTGTCTACTCTCAAAATAGCAGTGGTTCTTAACCTGTATTCGATTGACCCCGGTTAATTCACGTTTTTTTGCATCCCCCCGGGTTCGGTGAGCCGATCTCGGTGGTTCGACGGAGTTTCTGCCACGGAGGGTAAGACACACGCGACTCAACACTTGAATTGTTCTGACACGCCCGCTTGGCCATCATTGGCTGTAAAGATATTGCTTGTCCAATCAGTGCTGTGGGAAATTTAGTTCGCTCACGCCCTACGTCGGGCGTGAGCGTCACATTTATTCGCACAAATTAGCCTCCACTAACGAAAATGAGTGAAAAACAGATGTCCTTGGACAGCTTTTTTACGGGGAAAAGGGCATCTGATGAGCCCCAAGATGAGCCCACAACCTCGAAGAAAACAAAATCTGCTTTTAACAGACAATACCAAGAATCCTACCTAAGATATGGGTTTGTCGCAGCAGGTGACTCTCTGGCGCCATGTCCGCTCTGCATTGTAGGTGG